CTATTTTTATTTTCCATTTTTATTAAAAATATTTTTAATTTTTTTCTACTATATTTTTTATTTTTCTTGTAAATTTTCCAAATTCTACTTTACTTCCATCATTTTATTTTGTTTCATTGTATTCATTTTTTTCAAGTTTTCAAACGTTTTCCTTTTTTTCTTTTCTGTTCCTTTTTTCTCTAACATATCAAGCTCCTTTCAACAACCAGACCAAAACACACCTAGGATCTAACATCATTTATTTGATTCTTCTGTGTGTTTTTCCAATTTTTTAATTTTAATTATTTTTTTACCTTACTAATTCCTTTATTTCCTTCAAAATGACAAAATGAAGGAATTCACCCTAAAATTCACCCCAATGAAGGAAGAAAGGACAGCCAGGGACTTAATTAACACAGATATAAGCAACATGTCTCAACAAGACTTTAGAATCCCGATAATAAGAATGCTAGCTGGGGTTGAAAACAGATTAGAATCCCTTTCTGTGGAGATAAAAGAAGTAAAAGCTAGTCAGGACGAAATAAAAAATGTTATAACTGAGCCACAATCTCGAATAGATGTCACAGCGGCAAGGATGGATGAACCAGAGCAGCGAATCAGCGATAAAGAGGACAAACTTACGGAGAAGAATGAAGCAGTACAAAAGAGGGAGACTAAGGGAAAAGGGAACGATTTAAGAATTAGAGAAATCACGTGACTCATTAAAAAGAAACAACATCAGAATCATAGGCGTCCCAGAAGATGAAGAGAGAGAAAAAGGGGTAGAAGGGTTATGTGAGCAAATCATACCAGAAAGCTTTCCTAACCTGGGGAAAGACACAGACATCAAAATCCAGGAAGCACAGAAGACTCCCAATAGATTCAACAAAAACTGACCATCAACAAGGCATATCATAGTCAAATTCACAAAATACTCACGCAAGGAAAGAAATCACGAAGGCAGCAAGGGGAAAAAAGTCCTTAACCTACAAGGGAAGACAGATCAGGTTTGCAGCAGACCTATCCACAGAAACTTGGCAGGCCAGAAAGGAGTGGAAGGATGTATGCAATGTATGGAATCAGAAAAATATGCAGCCAATAATTCTTTATCCATCAAGGCTGTCATTCAAAATAAGGAGAGATAAAAAGCTTTTCAGACAAACAAAAACCAAAGGAGTTTGTGACCACTAAACCAGCCCTGCATGAAATTTTAAGGGGGACTCTCTGAGGGGAGAAAAGACGAGGGGAAGAAAAAAAAAAGACCAAAAGCAACAAAGACTAGAAAGGACCAGAGACCACCACCAGAAATTCCAGCTCTACAAGCAACATAATGGCAATAAATTCATATCTTTCAGTACGCACTCTAAATGTGAATGGACTAAATGTTCCAATCAAAAGACAAAGGGTAACAGAATGGACAAGAAAACAAGATCCATTTATATGCTGTTTAGAAGAGACCCACTTTAGACCTAAAGACATCTTCAGATTGAAAGTAAGAAGATGGAGAACCATTTATCATGCTAATCCTCAACAAAAGAAAGCCAAAGTAGCCATACTTATATCAGACAATCTAGATTTTAAAATAAAGACTGTAACAAGAGATGAAGGGCATTATATCATAATTAAGGGGTCTATCCACCAAGAACTAACAATTGCAAATATTTATGCTCCAAATGTGAAAACACCCAAATATATAAATAAATTAATCACAAACATAAAGAAACTCATTGATAACAATATCATAATAAGGGACTTCAACATCCCACTTACAACAATGGATAGCTCATCTAAACAGAAAAATCAACAAGGAAACAACAGCTTTGAATGACACACTGGACCTGATAGACTTAACAGATATATTCAGAACATTTCATCCTAAAGCAGCAGAATACACATTCTTCTTCAGTTCACATGGAACACTCTCCAGAATAGACCACATACCGGGACACAAATCAGCCCTCAACAAGTACAAAAAGATCGAGATTATACCGTGCATATTTTCAGACCACAACACTATGAAACTTGAAATCAACCACAAGATAAAATGTGGAAAGATAACAAAACTTGGAGAGTAAAGACCATCTTACTAAAGAATGAATGGGACAAACAAGAAGTTAAAGAGGAAATTAAAAAGTACATGGAAGCCCATGAAAATGATAACCACAGTCCCAAACCTCTGGGACGCAGCAAAGGTTGTCATGAGAGGGAAGTATATAGCAATCCAGGCCTTCCTCAAAAAGGAAGAAAGGCCTCAGATACACAACCTAACCATACACCTTAAGGAGCTGGAAAAAGAACAGCAAATAAAACCCAAACCAGCAGAATAAAGGAAATAATAAAGATTAGAACAGAAATCAATGCTATTGAAACCAAAAAGCAGAACAGATCAATGAAACCAGAAGCTGGTTCTTTGAAAGAATTAACAAAATTGATAAACCCCTAGCCAGTTTGATCAAAAAGAAAAAGGAAAGGACCCAAATAAATAAAATCAGAATAAAAGAGGAGAGATCACAACATAGCAGAAACGCAAACAATAAGAAAATATTACGAGCAATTATATGCCAATAAAATGGGCAATCTGGAAGAAATGGATAAATTCCTAGAAACATATACAGTACCAAAACTGAAACAGGAAGAAATAGAAAATTTGAACAGGCACATAACCAGTAAGGAAATCGAAATAGTAATCAAAAATCTCCCCTAAAACAACAGTCCTGGGCCAGATGGCTTTCCACGGGAATTCTACTAAACATTTAAAGAAGAGTTAACACCTACCCTCTTGAAGCTGTTTCAAAAAATAGAAATGGAAGGAAAACTTCCAAACTCATTCGATGAGGCCAGCATTACCTTGATCCCCAAACCAAAGACCCCATTAAAAAGGAGAACTTCAGACCAATTTCCCTGATGAACATGGATGCAAAAATCCTGAACAAGATACTAGCCAACCGGATCCAACAACACATTAAAAAAATTATTCATCACGACCAAGTAAGATTTATACCTGGGATGCAGGGCTGGTTCAATATCCACAAAACAATCAATGTGAGATATCACATCAATAAAAGAAAGGACAAGAACCACATGATCCTCTCAATAGATGCAGAGAAAGCATTTGACAAAATACAATTTCCTTTCTTGATAAAAACCCTTAAGAAAGTAGGGATAAAAGAATCATACCTTGAGATCATAAAAGCCATATATGAAAGACCCAACACCAATGTCATCCTCAATGGGGAAAAACTGAGAGCTTCCCCCTAAGGTCAGGAACAAGACAAGGACGTCCACTCTCACCACTGTTATTCAACATGGTATTGAAAGTCTTAGCCTCAGCAATCAGACAACATAAAATAATAAGAGGTATCCAAACAGGTGAGGAGGTCGTCAAACTTTCAGTCTTTGCAGATGACATGATCCTCTATATGGAAAACCCAAAAGTTCCACCAAAAAACTGCTAGAACTGATCCATGAATTCAGCAGTCTCAGGATATAAAAATCAATGCAGAGAAGTCAGTTCCATTCTTATACACCCACAATGAAACAACAGAGAGGGAAATCAAGGAATTGATCCCATTTACAATTGCACCAAAAACTATAAAATACCTAGAAATAAACCTAACCAAAGAGGTGAAAAATGTATGCACTGAAAACTACAGAAAGCTTATGAAAGAAATTGTAGCAGACACACAAAAATGGAAACATTTCCATGCTCCTGGATAGGAAGAACAAATATTGCTAAAATGTCAATACTATCCAAAGCAATCTACATATTCAATGCAATCCTTGTCAAAATAACACCAGCATTCTTCACAGAGCTAGAACAAATAATCCTAAAATTTGTATGCAGCCAGAAAAGACCCAAATAGCCAAAGCAATCTTGAAAAAGAAAACCAAAACTGAAGGAATCACAATTCCAGACTTCAAAGTGTATTACAAAGCTGTAATCATTAAGACAGTATGGCACAAAAAATACACCCTCAGATCAATGGAACAGAAAAAATGGACCCACAAAGGTATGGCCAACTAATTTTTGACAAAGCAGGAAAGTATATCCAATGAAATAAAGACAGTCTCTTCAGCAAGTGGTGCTGGGAAAACTGGACAGTGACATGCAGAAGAATGAACCTGGACCACTTTCTTACACCATACACAAAAATAAACTCAAAATGGATTAAAGACCTCAATGTAAGACAGGAAGCCATCAAAATCCTCGAGGAGAAATCAGGCAAAAACCTCTTTGACCTTGGCCACACCAACTTCTTACTTACCATGTCTCTGGAGGCAAGCAAAACAACAGGAAAAATGAACTATTGGGACCTCATCAAAATAAAAAAACTTCTGCACAGTGAAGGAAACAATCAACAAAACTAAAAGGCAACTGACAGAATGGGAGAAGATATTTGCAAATGACATATCAGGTAAAGGGTTAGTATCCAAAATCTATAAAGAACTCATCAAACTCACCCCAAAGACAAATAATGGGCAAAAGACATGAATAGACACTTCTCAAAAGAAGACATCCAGATGGCCAACTGACACATGAAAAAAATGCTCAACATCACTCATCATCAGGGAAATACAAGTCAAAACCACAATGCGATATCACCTTACACCTGTCAGAATGGCTGACATTAACAACTCAGGGAACAACAGATGTTGGCAAGGATGTGGAGAGAGAGGATCTCTTTTGCACTGCTGGTGGGAATGTAAGCTGGTGCAGCCACTCTGGAAAACAGTATGGAGGTTCCTCAAAAAACTAAAAATAGAACTACCCTATGACCCAGCAATTGCACTACTAGGCATTTATCCATGGGATACAGGTGTGCTGTTTTGAAAGGGTACATGAACCCCAATGTTTATAGCAGCACTATCAACAACAGCCAAAGTATGGAAAGAGTCCATGTGTCCATTGATGGATGAATGGATAAAGAAGATGTGGTATGTGTGTGTGTGTGTGTGTGTGTATGTATATATATATGTGTGTGTGTATATATATATATATATATACATATATATATACATACATATAATGGATGACACACACAATGGATGACGATGAGGGTATTATGCTAAGTGAAATTAGTCAGAGAAAGACAGATATCATATGACTTCACTCATATAAGGACTATAAGATACAAAACACATGAACATAAGGGAAGGGAAGCAAAAATAATATAAAAACAGGGAGGGGGACATGAGACTCTTAAATATAGAGAACAGAGGGTTGCTGGAGGGGTTACAGAAGGGGGCTAAATGGGTAAGGGCCATTAAGGAATCTACTACTCCTGAAATTACTGTTGCAGTATATGGTAACTAACTATTGACTAAATAAGTAAGTAAATAAATATATAAATTTATATTAACTGAGAAAATATTTTTATTATCTCAATAGAAACACAAATATTTCCCATTTGTTCAGTGGTAGAGGGACAAAGAAAATCATCATTTTAGTCTATTAACAATAATTCACACTAGGAATATTTCAAACATGACTTCTGAAATTATATGAAGGGCTATTTGCCAGCAAGGAAGGCCCAAAAGAGAAATAAATGCTTCAGCGGTGTGTATGTGTGGGTTATGGTGAGTGGATCAACCAGAATTGACTTACTTCCCTGTTTTCCTTTTAGGGAGCTTTTAGTTATATATCTACAAGGAAGGTTTCCTTTGTCTATTTAAAGAGGTACGTATTGAATGTGAATTATGTAAAAAGTCAGAACCGAAAGCAATCTAAATGTCCATCAACAGGGGAGCATTAGAGTATTATGTAGCCACTGTTGAAAGTGACATTTACCAAAAAAGAATGATGTCAAGGAAAAAGGGTTCAAAAATCATACATACAGAAGTTTTATAGCTATGTTTTTTCAAAAGTTGTAAGACACAGGGTACTTAGGTGGTTCAGTCGGTTAAGCATCCAACTTCGACTCAGGTCATGATCTCACCATTCGTGAGTTTGAGCCCTGCATTGGGGTCTGCGCTGACAGTCCAGAGCCTGAAGCCTGCTTCATATTCTGTGTATCCCTCTCTCTCTTTCCCACCTTGTTCACACTCTCTCTCTCAAAAATAAACATTAAAAAAAATAATAAAAATAAAAGTTGTAAGACACATTCAAAGAGAAATATGAAAACTACATCAACTTGTTAACATATTGGGGGTTTTTCCTTCTTATTCTTCTGTATTTTTCTGAATTTCCTTAAGATTATCTCTTTTGGTTTTGTGATAGAAAAATTAATGTAGCTATCAAAATAATCCATTGTGAAGAAGGAAAGTGGGTACAGGTACAGAGGAAACACAACTGGCTATGTGCCAATGACGGTGGTGATGGCACAGAGGGGTTCTAGAAACTATTCCCCTACTTTTATATTGTTTATAATTTAAAAAAAAAAAAAGGTTTTAAAAAGAAATAGCTACCTTTCCACTACTTCTGAGGAATTGCTGTCATGGTATTAGAGTGCAATTCACTGGCTTGAGTGTTACTGGCTGGTAACAAAGTCATTAATCCTGTGTATTACGATCAGTATTAAACAGAAATTCCACCACAGCTGAATATATAATTGAGAGAATTAGGAGACCTAAAGAAATTGATTCATAAGGTATTAAGTAAACCATACTGATAACAACAACAAAAAGGACTTAAGCCTCCTGACACTTAACAGCATTTTAGTACCGTAAAGGATACTTAAGTTTGTGATGGCAAAGCAGTAGAGATTCTTTTTATTTAAAATAAATTTAATATGCAGAATTTTAGACTTGTAGCCTAAAAAAATTTTGAAATCCCCCCTAATATTGATTTTGTATAAACCAAAGATATAGTAAGTATAGCATCATTAAAGTAGAGCTACCTAAAGGAGCTTCAGGCAGGTAAAGAAAATCGTATTCGAAAGATGGGCCAAGATTGCTCATCTTATTAAAGGTCTTTGAAACATAAAATAAAAACATATATTTTTATTATGCAAAATGCCATTTACAGATTTTATGAAATAGGTAACTGGCTTGGAATATTATATTAATTGATGTGTAATTATCAGATCTCCTTGTCAGTCCTTGCCTTTGTTCTTAGAACTTAATATAAAGCAAGTTGCAGCAGGCCACTTTAAAGATTCTTTCAACAAGGCCACATGTAGCCTTTCTCTTCCTCTTCCATTTATCTCTTTGTCTTATTCTGAGAACAATAATATTTATCCTACCCTATCTTAAAATCTTGACAAAGTTAAGTGGACAAAATATTAGGACATAATGATACTGATAATTCTATCTTTACATCTTTCCAAAGCTTAGGGCTTAAATGCTTACTATGTAGCTAATTTCTTATCATTATTAATTGACCAAAAGGGTATTCTGGCTAGATTTTGTAGCCAAATGGTAAATAAATATCATTTAGAAGAACCAAACTCACAAAGAGATAGATACCTTCCTGTATCCAAGAAAGCAACTACAGGTTGGTTATATGTAACCAATAGTTCTCTATCACTGAGAGTCCTCAAATGGAAACGAACAAAAAAAACCCAAAACCCACAAAAAACCTAGCAGGTAAACATAGTACAACAGTATTCAAGCATCTAGGTATATAATCTCAAAAATACCTTCAAAAACCCTGAAATTCTTTTTTTTTTTTTAATTTTTATTATTATGTTTCTTTATTTTTGAGAAGCAGAGGAAGACAGAGCACAAGAAGGGAGGGGCAGAGAGAGAGGGAGACACAGAATCTGAAGCAGGCTCCAGGCTCTGAGCCATCAGCCCAGAGCATGACACGGGGCTTGAACCCACGAACCGTGAAATCATGACCTGAGCCAAAGTTGGACACTCAAGCAACTGAGCCACCCAGGCGTCCCAAAACCCTAAAATTCTAACCACAATCTTAGTTCTTTTATTTGCTGTCACAGAATTCAATTTTGACCTTGTTCCTAATTTTTCTTAAATATTTTGACATAATTGTAGTTAACAGCATAAACATCAAACAACATGAGACTTCTAATTTAATATACCACATCAGAGTAGGTACAATACAGATTTTATTATTTAAATCAATGGAATAATAGGTTACATCATATTCCATGGTTAATTTCAAGGTCTATTGTATAAATTGAAGAATAACTTTTTTTTTGTATATTGACAAAGTCAGCAACATTTTAAATTGTTAAAAATATACTTAACTCTTTTCTGGAAATTGGAACTGCAGATATTGACTTGATCAAGTTTTCTGGTGGAAGATCCAAAAGTCTGGAAAGCTAATGTTAAAGACAAAAACAAAAACAAAAAGAACAGAGAAAGACGGTTATTAGATTTGTACCATATTCAGTGGAATACTGCTTATCAATAAAAAGAATATTCAGATACTTGACAACTTAAATGAGTCTCAAATGCACTATGCTAAGTGACAAAAACCAGACTTAAAAGGCTAGATGGTGTATGATTTACTTACTTGACATTCTGGAAAATCCAAAACTGTAAGAATGATGAACGAATAGATCAGTGGTTGCCAGGGGTTGAGGTTTAAAGTAGCAAAAGACTGTTCACCAAAAAGGATAAATTTTGTATTTGTAAATTTAAAAATAAATGGTATTGGTGTACCTGGATAGCTCAGTTGGTTAAGTGTCTGACTTTGGCTCAAGTCATGATCTTGCGGTTTGTGAATTTGAGTCCCACATTGGGCTCACTGCTATTGATGGAGGAGCATGGGGCAAGCTGAGGGCAAAATACAGGCTGGTAGACCCCTCCTCCCCCAGGTGGAATATGTGTGATATTCCTCGGACACTCCTGGCTACCCAAGAACTAAGGAAAGAGGTTTAAGTGCTTGCCATGGTAACGTGGGAAACTAAGGCAAATGAAACATTATATTCCCTTACTGCATACAACCCACTGAGAAGTCATTGAAACTGGCAGAGTGACCTCCCTCTAGGAGCTCAGCTGCCTCGATGATGACCCTTTGCTAGGGGCAAAACAGAACCTTAGCTTAACATTACCCCAACCTCCAGAATCCTGTTAAGTCAGCTTCCTTTATCTCAACTGCCCCAAGATATATGCTGGCAATCACAGTCCAGTTTATGGCCCCCTGATATGCATCTCAAGAGTCTCATGACTGAGGTTTTATTAAACAGTAAAAAATGGTGTTTCCCTAGCAACTGCTACTCCCTGAAGGTCCTGGAAACCTTGCTTCCAAAATACCTTAGAGACTTACTCTATCCCTGACCCCCTCCCGACCTGAAGGTATATAATGAGTTACCTCTCACAGCCCCAGTGCAGCTCTTCCTGCCCATGGGTCCTGTCCCTACGCTTTAATAAAATCACCTTTTTGCACCAAAGACATCTTCAAGCACTCTTTCTTGGCCATCAGCTCCAGGCTCCCCACCATCATCCCAAACTTCATCATTATCAGCAGAGTCTGCTTCAGATCCTCTGTCCCCCTCTCTCTGCCCTTCCTGCATTTCCTCTCACAAAAATTATTAAACTTTTTAAAAATAATAAATAAATGGTATTTTATTATTTATTTTTTTAATGTTTGTTTACTTTTGAGAGAAAGACCGAGCAGGGACGAGCAGAGAAAGAGGGAGACAGAGAATCTGAAGCAGGCTCCAGGCTCTGAGATGTCAGCTTAGTGCCTGATGTGGGGCTCGAACCCACAAACCGTGAGATCATGACCTGAGCTGAAGTCAGATGCTTAACCAACTGAGCCACCCAGGTGCCCCTAGATTTTCTATCTTAAGTACAACTAAAGTCTGCTGGCTAAACGAAAAACAAAAAACTTAGTTACAAAGGTGAATTTTAAAGGATTTCATCTGATAAATAAGTTGTGAACTTAGGTAATACAATGTTTACATTTAAATGAAAAACACAAAAAACTTTGTTTCCAGTAAAAAAGAATCTAACTACACAGTACAGTACTACCTGGCAACAAACTTTTCCTAAAAGTAAATTCTAAGACCAAGTTATAGTCACATGAAGATATAAATACCGAAATAAAAAATACCTTCAATAGCAGTTTTACAGAGGCACAAAAACATTATTATAGGATGTAAATTAAAAAGCCAAAATAAAGAGATTGAGGGAAAAGGAGAAATATGGGGAATCACTGTTTACAATGGGCACAGAGTTTCAGTTTTACAAATGAAGAGTTCTGGAAAAGGTTGATGGTTATGGTTGCACAACGGTGTGAATGTACTTAATGCCACTGGACTGCACATTTAAAAATACTTAAAATGGTAAATTTTATATTGTATAGATTTTCCCATAATTAAAAACAAAACAAAAAACCTAAAGAAAGACCCTGGGATGAAGTAGTGGAAGGAGGCCTTCTTTACATAATCTCCCACGTCCCACCCATTATCAAAATAAAATGAAAAGGATGGAAGAATGGAGAGGAGAAAGAAAGGATGGTAGCTAATAAAAAGGGTAGATTGTTGGTTCTCCAGCAACAAATATACAGGATAGGCACTGCCCAAAGTTAGAAACTTCGAAAGTGACAGCCAAGAAAAGAAACAGCAGATTTTGAAGAGGAATGAAGCAGTCTTGTTTGGCAAGGCTCCTAACTTGAATTAACAATTCTCATTAATACCTCAATCTGGAGAGAAAAAAAATAAATTCATTATTTTATTTGACATATTATTTATATGACCAGAGGAAGATGCTACAGAGCTGTGGGAGAGAATGAGTAAAACAGAGAAGTGAATTCCAGTACTTTTCAGAAGTGAAGATTCTAGAGCAGCACACTAAAGTTTTCTCCCAATGGAAACAATATATTCCCCAATTAAATGGAGCAGATTCTTTTTTTCTTGAGACAGACAGACAGACAGACACACACACACACACACACAGAGAGAGAGAGAGAGAGAGAGAGAGAGAGAAAGAGAGGGAAGGAGGGAGGGAGAGAACGTGTGTAAGCATGCAAGTGTTAGCAGGTGGGGTGGCAAAGGGAGAAAAGGAGAATCTCAAGCAGGCTCCGTGCCACCGTGAGATCATGACCTGAGCTGAAATCAAGAGTCGGACGCTTAACCAACTGAGCCACCCATGTGCCCTGAGCAGATCCTAATATGGTTTTGTATGGGCAGTAAGAATCAGAAGGGGAACTTTTATAGGAAGATGAAAAAAATATTAGAGCAAGCCAGCAAAAATTTAATATGCCAAGTCAGAGTTCATGAGTAATGTATACAAGTCACCATGACCTACCTACCAGAGAGACAGAATGGAAATCCCTAGAGTTTATATTTTTTTGTAATCATAAAAGCAAGGTGAGCCAAGAAAAAAATCTCACATGGAGAATGAAGTCACCCATACAATGCAGGAACAAAGTGTGGGCAGAGCTGTCAAGCATGATCAAGATGAAAAGTAGGTAAAACAAACAGGCAAACTCAAAGAGGTGGGGAGGGAGGAGACAGAAGTCCAGATGGTCAAATAACTCTTGTTTAGGGGCACCTGGGTCACTCAGTCGGTTAAAAGTCTGACTTTGGCTCAGGTCTTGATCTCATGATTTGTGAGTCTGAGCCCTGCATCAGGCTCTGTGCAGACAGCTTGGGAGCCTGGAGCCTGCTTCAGATTGTCTGTCTCTGTCTCTGTCTCCCTCCCCGTCCATGCTCTCCCTCTCTCAAAAATTAAAAAATTTAAAAAAATTAAAAAATAACCGAACGAATACAAAAACATTCATCCAAAGTCTTCAAGATTTGTGAACACAATAAGGATTTTTAAGACAAAAAAAGATAAAAAGGGAATCTAAAAATTAAATGCAAATTGACAATAATTTTTATTATACAATTAAGAAACACAAAGGAACAGTCATAATTAAAAGAAAGACACAGAAGGCCGATAATTAGAGAATACAGATTTTAAAAAACACAAATGAAAGCAATTAGAGGACAATAAATAAAATTTGTATAAGATAATCCAACCTTAGGATAATTGGTGTCCCAAAAACACAAAAGAGCAGCAAAGAAGACAGGAAAATAAGTACAATGGTTCTCTAGCACTCCAGCAACATAAGAATAGAGAAATAAAACCCAAAGTCACACTCTTCAAAAACTGATAGCTAAGGAAAGATGCAAGAGTCTGAAGCAGAATGGAGCAGTCTTGTGTAGCAGGGTTCCTAACTTGGTTTCTCTTATCAGAAACTATAGAGATGAAATCAACAAAACCCATGAAAATTAAGAAATATTCATAGATATATATCTTGACTCTCACAAAAGCAAGGCCTGAGAAAAGAACTATGTGCAGGTAGTTTATTTGGGAGGTGACTCCTGAGGGCATAAGTGACAGATTGACAAGAGTGAGAAGGAAGGAGAAAAAGTTAAAGACTGCTGTCAAGGTCACTGCTACAGGCAATAAGGGCTGAATTTCCATAGCACCTCCCAAAAAGCACACACAGTATCTACCAAAATTGGCTATCTAAAAATAGGAAGCAGGAGTTTCCATTCCCCATTGATTGAGGGCTGCTTTTTTTTTTCTTAATGTATATTTATTTTTAGGAGAGAGACAAAGTGCAAGCGTGCACAAGTGGGCGAGAGGCAGAGGGAAACAGGATCTGAAGCAGGCTCTGTGCTGACAGCAGAGAACCCAATGTGGGGGACTCGAACTCACAAACCACATGAGATTGTGACCTGGGCCGAAGTCAGACACTTAACTGACTGAGCCACCCAGGCTCCCCGTGAGGGCTGTCTTTGAGGGTGTTAACTCTGCCACACTTGAGCTGGGCATAGGCTTGAATCAGCAGGCTATTAGACTAGATGAGGTGCTGTTAGAAATAAGTGATTGGAGGCAGATGTGAAACCAGTCACATAAGTGGCAGTTGGAGCCAAGCAAGGTGTGACCAAAGTGATAGGAGATAAGGCAGAATACTCAATAAAATGGAAAATTTCCCTGAAATGAGGAGCTAAATCTAAATTGTGGTATATTACTACAACGACACTGAGCAGTAAAATGAAAGAACTAGACCTCTCCATGCATTATTACAGATACATCTTTTTTAAGAAATTGAGGCTAAGAAACAAAAAACCCAAGTTGCAGAAGGATGATTACAGTTTGATTACTGTGAGAAATGAGCCCACTGACCCAATCAAAGGAGGGATGGGGAGACTTGGAGCACAGTGAAGTGAGGCTTGTAATCAATTTTCTTGCAAGAGCAGTGTCTGATGGACAGACACACTTGGGGCAGTTACAGCAGACAATTTATCTTCTACCCTGGTTCCTCTTTGGTTGAGTACTACAGAGGTTACAGCTTTACCTGGAAGTCGCCTATGCCCATGTAAGGCAAAAAGTAGTCTGACTGGAATAAATGTACATTTCTTGAGGTGATGCAGAGATGCCAGTTCTTTGGTGCATGCTCGTTGCAAAGCCCATGAAAAATAAGCCCACGAAATGGAGAGGGTTAAGAACAACCAGGAAGTGAAGTGTCCATGGGTTTGGGACTCCACTGGGTATGGGGAGGGGGGAGGGGGGGTGGCTGGTACATATTTCCAGTAGGTTGTAAACCTATTGTTAACTAGACAGAACAATTTTATTTGGTGTTTCTGAAAACGAATCATCTCATGTAATTCTCACAATTACCACTTACATTAAATGTAATAACTTGCAAAAATATACTATTTAGGGATACATCCATAGGTAGAAAGTGACATGCACAGATATAATAAACACAAAATCTTACATGTGAGGAAAGAGTTTTTGGCCAGGGATAGGTACCCAGAAGATTTAATAGTATTTGTAATAGTTTATTTTTTAAGTTGAGTGATGGGTACATATCAACTATATTTTTCTCCATGGTGAAATATTTTATTAAAAAAAGAAAAACTGAATCTATAGATCAATATAAATTACTAGGTCAGGAAAGCATAATAGGGAAAATTCAACACTGAAAACACATTCTGCTTAAGTTACAAAATTTCAAAAATAAAGCACCCAATCAAGAAAACTCCAGGGATGAAATAAATGTACTGTACTTTGTAGTCATATTATCTAACCACAAAGACCATGATCTTGGTTAAAGTAAATAATTTAGTAATGATATTATATACAACTAGATTCACCCACAAGAGAAGGTGTAAACCGATATGTTTGTTTCACCTGCTCAGTTGTTTTTTTAATCTGAATTGCCAACATATGAAAATTCATGTTTTAAAATAACATTGGATTAAATTCAAAATCAGAACTAACGAATCTGATGTTATTGCTTTATTTTTAAAATGAAGATTTTTGATCTTATTTCTAAACATGCTAATTTTATAATGATATAAACCTCCTCTATATATTTCTAGGGATATTTTATTTGAGAAGTCAAAATTTCTTTAAAACAACAAATTAAAAAAAAAAAAGGCACCATGAACCCTTCTGGAAGATCTGCTTACAAAAAAATCCAGCCAATTAAGCCATACCTCGGGAAGAGGATTGGAAGGAAGCATCTTATCCAATTCAATGTAAAATGAATAGGAAGCAAGTTGTGCAGATATGGCTAATAGACAGTAAGTGCTACACACTTTGAGAAAGTTACCCAAACAAATTAGGAAAGGTAGAGGAAAGTTATACCAACCGGAAAAGTACTAATGTCCTTATTTCTTAATGGCAAGGGTTGATACTATCTAAATTTGAAGCATCAAAAATTTTTAAAGAGATCCAAATTGTAATGTTTTTCAAAATCTCTTTTCATAAAGTAGAGGACTCACTTAGGAAATATAGCAATAATTCTTTGAGTTACATTTTGGTTTCTTTTTCTTTAAGCACAAGCAAAACTGTTTAGTATTTTCAACTTAAAAACAGCATTTTGGTTACGGGGAATCATAATACTATTATGCATTTCGTAGTTGGACATTTTCTATCACAAAATTAAAAAAAAAACCCTCAAAAGCCCATTACAATACAGCCCAATTTTTGTAAAAAAGCATATATACTCTTCCTTTTTTTCTGTGTGTATATCCTCCAAGAAATGTATCTCAAATAAAGTTCAACCAATGTTGATACTGATTACTTATGGAGGAGGTTTTCCTTTTAATTGTTTGCACCTTTTTGTATTGCTTATTTCTTTACAATGACCACACATTATTTTTGCAAAAATGAGATTTTTTTTCTTTACCAAAACACAACTTTATATAAAAGTACTGTTAAAAAGATTCCTTTTGGAAATGAAGCCATATGGTTCAGATATGTAGCTTTCTGGTTATCTAAGTTCATGTGGGGCTAAAACATTCACCTAGAATAATGGATAAAATTAGTTCCCCTTTATTTTTTAATTTTTTTTTTTGACTATTTATTTTTGAGAGACAGAGCGTGAGCAAGGGAGGGGCAGAGAGAGACAGAGAGGGAGAGACACACACACACACAGAATCAGAAGCAGGCTACAGGCTCTGAGCTGTCAGCAGAGCCCGATGCAGGGTCGAACCCACGAACTGTGAGATCATGACCCGAGCCGAAGTCGGACGCTTAAGCGACTGAGCCACACAGGCGCCCCAAAATTAGTTCCCCTTTATAAAGGCTCTGGGATTGTAGTGGTGTGAGGAGGGATTCAAAATACCCTAACCTCAGAATTCTGAGGACAGAATGTAATAATGATAAACATTTATTGAATGTATACAATGTACCAAACATAATCTAAACACTATGTACAATACTAAACACTGTTTGAATTCACTGAATCCTAATGACAAGACTATAAAGTAAATAATTTTCCAGATTTTACAGAAGGGGCAGAGAACTTACATACCTGTCAAAGGAGAGGGTAGATTTAAACCCATGTCTTCCATGGTCAATGTTCTTAATCATTATAACTATGGTTCCCACATTTTGTTGCACAGTCCACATCGGAATGACTCACAAATCTTTAGAACACACTGATCCCTGGCTCCCACAGCCAAATATGCTGGTATGACCTGGGGAACAGGATGTAAAAAGTTCTCTGGTCTATTCTAATATGCAGTAAAGTGTGGCAACCACACCGCACTATACCTTTAGGTTTCCTGGTCTTTCCGAGTTGGTAGTTATCAAGCCTGGAGGAACATCAGAATCACCTGATGATTTTTAGAACTTTGTCCCCCACCTCACCCCAGACCAATGGGCCTGGGCTTAAGTATTTTTTTTTTAAATATTTATTTATTTTTCAGAGAGAGAGAGAGAGAGAGAGAGAGAGAAAGAGGTATAGAGAGAGTGGACAGAGGAAGTGAAGCGGGCTCGGCACTGACAGCAGAGAGCCTGCTGCAGGGCTCAAACCCAAGAACTGTGAGATCATGACTTAAGCCGCAGTCGGATGCTCAGCCTACTGAGCCACCCAGGTGCCCTTGGGCTTAAGTAATTTATAACGCTTCTCAGGTGATTCCAGTCTATAAACTAGGCTTGAGACCTGCTGCTTAGGAAGGTACCAGCAGTCTCTCCTCACATTACCAATCAGTGCCAAGGCTAGTGAGTGTTTTTAATGAGAGGAACATCTTTCAAATGGGTGGGGCACAAAAAAAAAAAAGAAAGAAAGAAAAATTAAGAAGCACTGTCAAGTGGTCGAATGTCAGAGAGCATGGTTTTTAATTCACCTACATTCCCATAGGTCTACAATTATTCAGGAAATCATAAGATTTTCTTTAACTGTCTCTGAACTTGGATTTAATGCTTTCTCTCATGAGAATGTTGCCTATGGGTTTCCTTATACATTTCCTTTCTTCTTTTCCCTTCAGATAAAGGTGTTTCCCTGGCATTGGGCTTCACCTAGGACTACCGCAGGTAAAACAAGGGCCTATTGATAATTACCTACTTGAGACCTCAGGATGATGAAAGAAAAAACTTCTACAGAATAAAATATACTAAAAATTACTCAAGGAGGATAATAAGACCACAACAATAAAGCTCAAAATTTTAACAGAGAAATAAAATCCACGAAATATTAAACACATTCCTTGAGAAGTAAACTAAATAACCCAAATGAATAAGGAGAAAACCTGAGGTTGAAAGCAGGGAACATTTAAGAGAGCACAAAAGTGAAAATCCACATATGCCAGATCTGGCTTGGGAACTTAAGATCAGATTCTAATGTGTAATATAATAATGGCCAATATGTATCGAGTGCCAACAATGTACCAGGTACAATTCTAAGTCTTAGATTTGGCAATATAGCCTCAGAGATTTTAATATAATCTTTGACTACAAGGGTATCCAGTATGAGAAAGCACATTAATTAAGGAGCTTGTGGGCGGTTCTCAACCATTCCTTTTCCCTCAGACACACACGATTCCTACCCCCAGTACCCAAGTACTGAACACAAAGCCAAAAAAAAAAAAAAAAAAAATTCCTATCATTCTGGTTCTAGACAGGTTCTAAATTCAATTAGAAATTAAACTTACCAGATTCAAGATCGAAATCTCTGATAATTTCATAAAAACTCTAATTTTGCTAATGAAAATGAGATCCTTATGCTTTAGCAGTCATACAGGTAGCAGAACTGATATTTCTTAGGAAAATTAGCTCTGCATTTTTATCCATGTAATAGTCTATAGGCCATGAGTCTCAAAATTCTTAAAATGTTATCAATCACTCTTCCAGATCTTAAATTACTTAAACTGTTTCAATTACCCGTGGTTATTCCTTACTTCTGACTCTCAAATATAACCAGGCCAGGTATGTACATTTGCCAGCAAGAGCCAATGCACAAGCATGCCCATATTTGTACAGACTTTCTTCAGGTACAGGTCTGGATTAACTGACTCAAATTGGCAGCAAACCTGGTAACAACTGAAACTTCAGGGTACAGAAGAGAACTTCCCAAAAGATTGGGAAGGCAAGTTATTACCGACTATCTATAATGAAAGAAATTTAGCACAACTCTTGAATAACTTGTAGTTTTTTAAGCAGAATGGAATGCTGGTGGGCGCGTTAGAAGTACGTGTTAGGAGAGAAATACACATCTAGACAATTCAGTCATTCAGCAAAATGTTAATAACTGGTGAATCTGGATAAAGAGTATATGGAGTTTTTTGCACTATTATCATAACTTTTCTTTAATTTTGACATTCAGAATTAAAAGTAAAAAAAAAAAAAATGAAAATGAACCAGCTGGATTTATTTTAAACTTAACGTCAAAACCTAAGTGAAAAGAGAAAGGGAAACAAATCTATACTCTGCCATTATGTTTCTGAGACAGATATAGTACTGACAATTTTACACAGGCTATTTTATAGAATATAAAGAATTAGAGCTTTCAGTCAAAAAGCTAGGTTTGTAGTTCAACTCTACAATTTCGCTGCTCTGTAACTTTATTCTTTTTATCTTCCAGAGTTTCAGTGTCCTCCTCTAGAAAATGGAGATGATACAAATAGGATGATTGAAAAGATTAAAATATCACAATATCAAGTACTGTACACTTTGTGTGCATACCACAGTCCTAAGTGATGGGAGACAAAATCTCTATAGGACTTCTAGGTTTCTGTGTGTCTTGTAAACATGGCATAAAATCTTTTCAAAGATGCACGTATAGCAAACAGATCTGTAATACAGAGAGTCCCACTGCAGAGCAAAGGGGAACGTGCCTACTGCCCATTCTAAAAGACTCGGGGCTCCTCTCCTATGTAACACGGCACACTACCTGTGCAGGTATCATCTGACCTTCCTCACATTGCCCTGTGGAAGAAGAGGTGTCTGGGGAACCGATACAAGCAAATGTTGATACTGTGACCACTACTATTGCTGTAATAAAATCCTTTTTTCACCAAGGGATCTCATGTTTTCTGCCACCATCAATGAACTGTGGTAAAATAGGGTAAAATCCCAAACCCTTCACAGTTCTTGACACTATACACCTTCCGTTAACATTTATGTCCGTAGATCTTATCAACAGCCCCATAAAGTTCAGCAAAAACACTGCATGGTACAAGTGAGATATTTCACAAATGGCAGTTATTATTGTCTTCATCATCATTAATCTTTGCAACAATCCTGTAAACTTGGAATCAATACCATCATTTTATAGGTTAATTAACCAGCCAAGAGTAAGTCAGTCACACAAATGGAAGGACTACAATTTTAATCCTTTCCAGTTTTACCATGTTATCTCACAGCTTTGAAATTATGAACTCATTTGGCAAAGCTGCAAACCTTATATTACATCACCAACAGCTACTTACTCTTTAAATATTTATTAAACATCTTCTGTTTTAGGCACTTTGTTGGTGCTAGGGAAATAGTGAATCAAACATGCTGTCTTCATGAAGCTTATAGAGAAAGCATACACCAAAACAAGTAAAACAACTAATTCCCTAAGAATAATTAGCTAATGAAGTAATTATTAGCTCTTGCAAGTGTTATGATGGAAGCAAACAAGGGTCTGAGACAGAGAGCAACTGGAGGACACACTTTTCAAACTATAGGTTGTTGGTTGGGAATCAATCCCAAGCAGGACTTTCTGAAAAATGCAGTATAGAAAAGAATGCACACACTTTATAAGGTAAGTTATTGTTTGTGAAACTCTGATCTTGCACAATAAAATCATTTCCTTTAGGCACAGGGAATAATCTACGCAATGGTAATGGAAAGGCCTTGCTTCGTTAGAAAAACAAACTGTGTGGCTAGAATCCTATAGAAAGAAAGAATAGAGTGGTATGAACTGAGGTTGGAAAGAAAGATGTTAGGATTCCGGTAGAGTTTAAGCAACGCAGTTTTAATTAGGTAAGTGATGTGATTTGATTTACATTTGAGAAGTCACTTTTCTTGGTATAAGGAGGATGGATTTGAGGGACAGCAAGTGTGGAAACAGACCTATCAGAATGTTGTTGTAAGTAGCTTGATTTGGGAAGGGAAGGGCAATAGGGATATAAGAGTGGGTGGATTCAAGATATTATTTTGAAGGCAGAGTCCAAAGGACTTGCTGAAGTGAGGCCATAAGAGGCATACTCTAAATTTCAGTCATATGCAAATCTTGTAGTTCCAAGAATATACCATGCTCTCCATGTGTCTGTGGTCTACACACATGATCTTCTTGGAATTTCCTACCACTCTCCAAGTTCTCACCCTATTGACTTGGTACACTCCTACCCATCCTCCTTTCGGGACTGAGCCCCAACATTACTTTTCCACAAAGCATTCCCAGACATTTGGAAGCTGTCTTCTCCATATTCCCTTAGCACTTCACACATGCTTTTAATACACTGGTTACAGACTACAATTAGCTGTTATACATGTGTTTCACCAAATTAGTCTGGAGCCATGCCAGGGCAGAAATCATATTCTATGCACTTTCAGCCTTGGGAATGATGATAGTGTTTAAAAAAATGTAGATTCATTAATCAAAATTTGCTGAATGAACGTGCCATTTCCTGTAATACATTCCTTCATTCCTAAACTGTCAAAGGACCCTCATTCATAAAGATATGTATTGCACATATTTTTATTTAATCCTTCAGATCATCCTTCAATGACTCCATATTTGAAGAAATATGTATTTGCTTAGTTTATGCTGCCATACGAATCTATGAGATTCTGTTTAATGATCAGATTGTGCTTCTTGCCTTCATAAAAGAACTATCACAGTATATAGTAAAGGGCTGATTTTGAAATTAGATCTCTGTTCAAAAACCAACTCTTCAATTTATTAACTATGTGGACTGGCTATGGGTAGGTTTTTTTTTTTTTTTTTAACGTTTATTTATTTTTGGGACAGAGAGAGACAGAGCATGAACGGGGGAGGGGTAGAGAGAGAGAGGAGACACAGAATCAGAAACAGGCTCCAGGCTCTGAGCCATCAGCCCAGAGCCCGACGCGGGGCTCGAACTCACGGACCGCGAGATCGTGACCTGGCTGAAGTCGGACGCTTAACCGACTGCGCCACCCAGGCGCCCCTGGTTTTTAATCTCTCTGTATCTGTTTGCTCAACTGTATATGGTTAATACTTCTATGTCATAGGGTCATCATGTGGCTTGAATGTGAACACAAATTAGCACAAATACACATTCAATACGTATCAGTTTCTGCTTCTCCAACTTACCTTCTTTACAAGGAAGAATACAGCCTTTGCAAAACTAAACACAAAAGGTTTCTGGTCATGGCACTACTTTGACCACTGAGAAGGGAAATCATCTTACAGCCCCACCCCCCTCCACCCGCCCCCAAACACAACTTGGCCACTGAGGTCCAAAACTACCTACCCTGTAGTTCCTGTAATGAATAACAGGAACTTCTTGAAAAAAACGATCAATTCTTCAGGAGAAAGCACCAATAGTTTATGCCCTAAGACTCCTTGCACTCCTTTCCTTCTATCAATCTTAAAATTGTTAAATCAGTGTCCAATCCTAATCAAGCATCTATCTCCTCCACTCCTTCACCCTCTCACCCTCTGCCACTGAAAGACCAGCCTTAAACCATACTTCAAATTCTCAAGAAAAATCTGATGCTGCTTTCCTTCCCAGGCACTAACAAAAACTCTGCTGAGGTGTTCTTTCTTATCCCAGTCAGTAAGTCATAAACTCAGATTTGTCCTATCAGAAGGCTAGGTGGTGTCTGAGAAACCAGCATTGGACAGGGCAGTACATTTACAAGTATGAAGGCAAGGCAAAGGAATTTTCCCACAAAAGTCCAGAAATACTATAAAAATGAACTAAGGGAAATTACGTATCAGGCAAAATACGTCCACTATTACGTCCATTAATAAAAAGGAAATGGATTTGTCAAGACAATAGGAAGTTGCGTTGCAAAATTCCAAAACGGGACGATGAGTTTTAAAAATTATTTTTGATGAAATTTAATGAAGTGTTTTATTCCTTATTACAGAGCTGTTCATATATAGGACTCCGAATCAAAAACAGCATCTCACGTTATCTTTGGAGTTACCAAAAGTAATGCTAGGACAAGCGGCCAAAGTGGCTGCAAGACAAATGATCAGTTTTTAAATTAGATCCTTTCGAATAAAAATTCAGATGCATTATCCATTTCACTAAGTGTAAGCAACACTAATTTCTAAAAGGTCTAATCACGGCCCAGTGAATTTCCACTCGGGTAAAGCATACAAGGCTGTGGGGTAGAATGGAGTGAGGGAAGCAATTTGTGCTTTCCAAGGTTTACTTTTCACCCTGAGAAACCTATTTGGGCTGCATGGCCGACCCTGAACCGGGTTGGCCTCCGCAGCTCGAGCAGTTCCAGAGAGGAAAGAGAAGACGGCAGAAACGGGGTATCCATAGAATCCACCCTCTCTCTGAGGGATGACCCGCAGCGGTGAAGGGGTTGCGGGGTGGGGGTTCCGCTAGGGCCCTCTTTCTACCAATATTCGGGTCCGTACCTGACGGGCGATGGACCTGCGGAAGCCACACGCCATGGCCACCTCCAAGAAGCACGCCCCAGTTGCCTGGCCCGGATCCTCGCCCCTCCCTTCTCTGCACGCCCCGCCTACGCGCGCCGGAAGCCCGCCCTGGAGGATTCTGCCAGCCAATCAAGAAGCCGCGTGGCCGGCCACTAACCTCTGCCCTGCCGCCGCGAGGGAGCGCGGGAAATCCCGAGTGCTGCTGGAATCCCGCGGGCCGGTGGGACCATGGCCACTTCTTCGGTGTCCAAGGTACGGGGGGGGGGGGCGGCGGACGCCCACTAGACACAGCGGTCGCTGCATTCCCATTTGAAGAAGGCATATAGCAGAGGTTACGTAGGCTTCGATGTACCGGCTGGAGCGGAGGGAGTGGCAGGCTGAGCTGAGGCGTCCCTGCTCCAAGTGCAGTTGAGGTCAACTTTGCTTGGGCAGCGAAAACACCCATCTGCCTTAGTATTGTGGCTGGGAGGATTTTGTAAGCTTTGGTTTGTGGAGGTCGAATTCCCCGAGGATGTGCCCCAGTCTTCTTTACTTTTTTTCTTTCTCAGAAATATTTGTTACGCGCCAAGCACTCCGTTAGGTACCGAGATAGAGTGTAAACAAAATAGACTCAATGCTTTCACTCAGGAAAAATATTAAACACAGATAAACTGATGATAACAAATTGTGATAAGTTAGCAGATTGCCCAGGGTCAGAGAAGGCCTTTTGGAGAAAGTGACATTTTAGCTGAGCCCTGAAAAATAAGTAGAAGTTAGGCAAAGGATTGGGGGCAGGGAGACTTAACAGCAAAGAGAATGACATGTTCTTTGGCCCAGAAGATAGAAATAAAGTGATCTATTTAAGGAATGGAAAAATCAGTATAATCAGGAGGTAGCGTTATGAAAAATGAGAATAAAAAAGTAGTGTAGGTGTGTATGTGTGTCAGAGGAGATCATATAGACCTCGTATGGGCTGCCTCAATGGTCAGGGATTGCAAGAAGACATGATAATGTGGTTGGTAAGAAGATAAACCCTAGAGTTCTGTTGTCTAATGTAATAGCCAGTAGCCACAATAGCCAGTGGCTATTTCAGTTTTAATTAGAATAAAGTAAAATTAAATAAAATTAGAAATACATTTCTTCAGTCTCACTAGCCACATTTCAAGTGTTCAGTAACCACATGTGGTGGTGACTCCCATTTTAGTGCAGAGACATGATATTTCTCCTTCGTTACTAAAAATCCTGTTGTACAGCACTGTTCTATACCCAAGTAAAGTAAGACCTTTAGTAACGAGTTCACCCAGAAGCCCCTTAAGTTAAGCTGTGATAAAGTCGAGAATGTAGGTGAAAACACTGCAAATACATTTCTCCCTATGTTAAAACAGTAGATTAGAAGGCTTTACCATGGGCCTTATTTTTAATTTTGATTAAAATGAAGCTAGAATTATGAGAAGGAGTGCCTTTTGAGACTATATCAAAGGGGAACTTTAAGCCCTTAACTTCAGAGTTTAAGTTTACAGAAGATTGACTGTGATGCCTGGTGCAAATGCCAGTAGAGCTTTAACTGTGCTAGTGTAGTCAGGGTGCTGGAGTGCAAGACCAGCTGGCTCTAGGGGTCTCAAACAGACCACGTTCTGGCACTCGCTGCTGACAAAACCAAAGTCAGAGAAACGAGTGGGAGTGAAACAAGGAAATTTATCTCAGTGAAGCCAACAGTGAGAAGACAGACTAGAGTCTCAAAGACTGTGTCCAAAGTGCTAAAAATGCTTCCAGGTTTATATAAGGAAAATGTGGGACAAAGGTCAGTGGGTTCGCACAGGTGGGCAGTAAAGATCAGATTGATAGATGTCTTGGAATCAATCATGGATGGAGTCTTGCTGGCCCAGGCCAGTCCTTACTGCTTAAGGTGTTAGTTTTGGTTCCCATTAAGGGATGTTGTGCCCACAGGATGTTTTGCCGGAGTTAAGAGATGAGCTGGAAAGAAGCACTTAATCAATTAGTATGTTTGAGGTCAAAATGGAGGTATTTGAAGTTCTCTTACACTAGTATTTTTTATTAGGATTGGTACTGTTTTTGTTATGCCCTGGTTATATATTTCCATAGGTTTTGCATGGTTTGCACCCTAATCCTTTACATTGCATAAACCTCTTATTTTTGTCTATCTTGCAGAATTGCGAGGTTTTTTTTCTTTTTCAGGAAAGCATTTACTGCATTATTACAGAAATGCTTGTATTGAGATGATTATGAAAGGGACTTTGCATAAATAAGAATCTTAGGGACTATTTTAGGAGCTCGTGTAACTGCTAGCTTTTTTTTTTTTTTAAACCTATGTAAACTTCTCTTTCCTTGTTACATTTTCTACCTGTTAGCTCTCCTCCTAGATGACTTGTGTCTCAAATACCATCACTTACTTGTTCAGCAGTTCAAAGCCGTTAACCATATTACTACCGCTGCCATACATTAGGATCCATTCCAGGCACTTGTCATATCTCACTCCTTCATAGTTCTTTTTCTTTTATTGAATTGCAGTTGGATGTAGAAAGGAGGCAATGACAAGGTTGTTGTGGTACTACATGATTTTTATAAATATGTGTATTTCAGTAGTTGCAGATATAAGAGTGTTAAGCACAGTTCTTGGAGCACCTGGGTGCCCCAGTGGGTTAAGTGGTCCGACTTAGGCTCAGGTCATGATCTCACGGTTCGAATCGAACCCCACATCGGTCTATGTGCTGACAGCTCAGAGCCTGGAGCCTGCTTTGGATTCTGTGTCTCCCTCTCTCTGTGCACCTCCCCTGCTCACACTCTGTTTCTCTCAAAAATAAATACACATTAAAAAAATATTTTTTTTAATAGAATAAAAAAAGGCACTGTTCTTATTTTGGATCCTGTAACCCAAATGACCACTTTATATTTGCACAGCTCTCTTTAGCACTATCCTGAGAGGATTTTTTCTAGGTTTATTTTTTTAATCTTGTCTTTCATTTTCCATAAAAATGGCAGTCTTTTTTTTCTTAAGTATATTTTGTTTGAGAGAGTGCGAGTATGGGTGGGGGGTGGGCAGGAAGAGAAAGAATTCCAAGCTAGATCCCAGGAACCATGAGATCATGACCTAGTCAAAATCAGGAGCAGAATGCTCAACCAACTAAGCCACTCAGGCGCCACAAAAATGGCAGTCTTCAAGAAGCTCTTACATGGTGCATGGCTTTAAGATTGGTAGAATAAACGCAGAACCAGTAGCTTGGGGGCTGTATATCACTAGTCAAGGAATAACATGATACTAAATGTAACTAGGAAATTACAAGGAAAATTACTTGGCCAGCATTCATTCCATATATTGATTGCCTAATGTATATGCGAACACTACCCTAGATACTGAGGAAACAATTAGGAGTTAAATGCAGTCTATGCTCTGAAGGCATTCAGTAAACTACTTGGTGAGACAGAACCATAAATATGATACACAGTGAAAGGGATTTAAAACAAAGCAAAATAAAGGCATTCAAGTATTCTGAGCTCTTAGGGAAAGGAATAATTCTAACTAGAGAACTAGGGAAGTTTTCCCAGACCAGATGAATAAGAGTTTTATCAGATGAAGAAAGATGTATAAGGTGAAACAATAGCCAAAATTATCTATTTCCTGTCAAGGTTATGGATCCTTGAAGTTTAATTAAATAATAAATATTTCTTCTGAAATGAGACAGCGTCACTATTTTTTACCTTAATTTTAATGTATGCTATTAATGTTCTCTAAGTTTAATAAAAATGGAAACTTTTTGGGTTTAAATTTCATCAGCTTTTATTTTGTCTCTTAGATCAGGTTTCTAAGAGCAAAATCAAAGATGAGCATCCCATGGGAAGGAGGAGAAAGAAATGGATAGTCCCTTTGTTTTTCAAGAATTTTCCTGTTCTAATTCAGATAGAAGAGAGATGATTTCTTAGTACTTTAAAGAAATACTTTTTTAAAATTCTGCTTATCCACAAAATACTTGGTTAATCAGATTTATCTGCTCCTTGGCTACTTTGACTTTATACTTTTTTTCCTTTTTACTTTTTTTTTAATAGGGTTGTTTTGTGTTTAAGCCAAACTTCAAGAAGAGAAAGATCTCTGTGCCAGTAGGTAAGATGTCTTAATATTGAATTGGCTAGTTTTCCTCCCCTAAGTTTTGAACTAACCTAACCCTAATTGAATTTAGTAGTTTTCTTGTCTTAAGTTTGACTTTACTTACCTTCCTGATGTAGCAGTTATAGTCAAAGGGATAAGGTACCTCCCAGGGTTTCAATCTAAAAGGGACTCCAATAGACCTTCAAAGGCAAATTGGAAAGTAAATTTCCTTCAAAGGATATGTCCCCATTCTTCAAAAGAGATTGTCTTAGGGGAGCCTGGGCTGACTCAGACAATAGAGCATGCAACTCTTGATCTCTGAGTAGGGAGTTCAAATCCCACATTGGGCATAGAGCTTACTTTAAAAAAAAAAAAAAGTTACCTATCTATTTATCTATATATAATTATAAAATAAAATAAAAGAGACTAACTCAGATGCATTTAAAAAAAAAAGAGAGAGAGATTGTCTTAAAAATCTCAGTGATTTCCTGGGGTACGTTATGGGAAATTGAATGCAAAAGAGCCAGAAATACTTTTTGGACTGATGGAAATGTTTTCTAGATTGAGGGAGCAGTTATATGAGTGTATACTTTTATTAGGACATACTAGACTGTTAAAATGGGTATGTTTTATTATTGTAAATTATTCCTCAATAAAATTCAGATTAAAAAAATACTATCTTTCTTAATTTATCTCCAGATATCTGTGTGGTGATCATGTTAGGAAGAATTGACTTTTTCAAACAAATCATGATATTAATGTCAGAAAGTGTTTATCGTACTGGTTTTCAATTGGGGCTGCAGATTGGAATCACCCAGGGAACTTAAAAAAAAATTGTTTCAAGGTTTTTTTGGATATAATTGTAGATTCCTGTGCAGTTGCAAGAAAGTATAGAGAATTTCCTTGTGCCCTTTACCCAGTAAATCTCCAGTGGTAACATTTTGGGTAACTGGTAAAATATCATAACCAGGAAACTTAACATTGGTATAATCCATTGACTTTACTTAGATTTCAACTTGGGAAACTTTTTAAAGATACTAATGCCCAGACCCCATCTCAGACCAATTGAATCAGAATCTCTGGGAATGTTACCTAGGTATTGATATATATATATTTTTTAAAGCTCCTCACAGGCTAATTATTTACACTCAGTCTTCAGTACTGTAAAGATTAATTCTGATGGAAAAATTATGTGTAATTAAGCATATTTGTGTACTTGTTTTGAATTAAAAAAGAAAAAACAACTGTACCACTGTTTGACTAAGAAAATAAATAACTTGTATTTATTGAAAAGGATTTTTCTAAGTCATCACATGATGCAAACCTTAGGGTGTTAGTTACTCCTTTAGTTTGAGACAAGCCAGGTACTCTTACCTATGCTCAAGGAGCAAATAATAAAATAATCGTCCATATTGAGGGGGACAGAGGGTAGGTATGACTTATAATAAGAACCTAGTTTCTCATTAACAGAATAAACAGTGATCTCAAGTTCTATACCCTCTTAAACTTAGTGTCAAAGGAACATGAAACTGCCGTATTCCTTGTCCCACCCCCAAAATAAAAAGTGACAGTGATAGACTTGGAAATAGTGAACAAACAAAAGCTACAATATAATTTTTTTTAATTCGTAAGTGGTTGACTTAACACATTTCCTTAATATTGGAGATTGCTAAACTCGAAATAGTTCATTTTCAGAGAAAATTCAAGTCGTTTCCCATTATCTATGAAGAAAATAGAAGATAAAATGACATCTGATAACATCAGCAATGTCATTATAACTAACAAAATTGCTAGCATTTATTGAGTTTTTATTATATGCTAGATTTTTCTAGGCCCTATATGTGTTACTTTCAATTCTCTCAGCAAACTATGAGAAATGTATTATGATTATCTCCATGAAAATATATGAGGATACTTAGAAAGAACTTTCTCAGTGATAGTGCTAATAAATGGCAGAGCTGAGATTTGAACCTAAGCTGTCTGATTCCAGAGCCCCTGGTCTAACCATTGCTTGGTACTGCCTCTCATATGAGGTGAATTTTTGCTTAGAACTTTTTCTGTTGAATTTCAGCTATAATTAAGATTTAAAGTTTTTAGTATTAGTAAACCTAATATATATAATTGTATAATTAAACTTTGCTTAGTTTTTTTTTTTTTCATTCTACTGATCTGAAACCAATAGATAGTATTTCGATATGAGAATCTTAAAGGAATTGACCCTGATTATAAGACAGATGGTGCAGGAATGAGGAAAACATATCTAGATTTTAGCACTTGCCTTCACTGGCTTCAATTCTTGAAACAGATTGCCTGAAGAAGTAGGAAGATGCCCTACATTTTATCCCCCATCTGTCCACTGACTTGAAGACACTTGGATGTGTACCTAAGAGAGGACTGGTAACTCTTCCTCTCCTCTGTATTCTGTGGATGACTATGTATCCTAGAAAACGACAGGGCAAGAAGGAGAGAGAAAGGGAGAGAGAGGGACTGAAACCTGTGGGGGCACTGACACTGACACTGTGGAAGTTTACACTGAAGTAGAGCATTGTGCGTAGGAGCAGGTGGGAACCTGTCAACAGTAATAGTTTACATTCTTTAGGTCTTCTTAATGCTGATTTATTTTTTACCTTCCTGTTCTATAAATGACTGAGAGAAATAACAGGTTAAATTGTCCTGCTGCTGCTGTTTCCCAATTTCTAACTGTTTTTGTAAGTATTTCGATGCCATGTTATTCAGCACATTAAAAATTATTGTCTTGATTTGCCACTTTAACATTTTATATGGATTTACTCATTATCAAAGTAAAATGACTTCTGTTCTAAGGCTACCCTGTTGTTCTGCTTTGTCTCTTAGTAATAGTGTGTTTCCTTGCCTTTTCTTGTTTGCATTTTTATACTATAACCTTGTCTCTCATTTTACCATGTAATGACTTCAGTATATTCTAAAGACTTTTGATAAATTCAAAAAATATTTGCTAAGAACTCTGAGTGAGCTATGAACAGAAGGAAAGTTCCTTAACATAAAAGAGAATCTCTATTCCAAACTACCAGAACTTGATGGTAGTAGAATGCTAGTGGCATCTCAGTAAAGTCAGGAACAAAATATGTATTTTCACATTATTATTGAATACTATAAAAGTTCTAGTTGTTATAATAAAGTACTAACAGTAAACAACAAGAAATATGAAAGAAAATAGAAAACTACAAAGAATGTAAAATAATTTGTTTAAAGGAAGAGATCTGTAGTGTTTGGATGTGAATTTTTTAACAACTTCATATCATTTCTTCCCAAATCAATCTCCAGATTTTATTTAATCAAATCACAATGCCATTTTAGTTATTTTTGAGCAATAGCAAAGTTTATTTGAAAGAATGGGTTAAAATATTTTGAAGAAGAATGATAATGTTTGGTGGTGGTAGGAGGAAGACCTGGAGTAATACTCCATGGAGTAATACTCCATATGTGAGCGTGCTGCAAAGCTCCAGTCATTAAAACAGTTCAGTACAGCTGTGGGAATAAACGTGGATTCAGTAGAACAAAAGAAAAAGTTAAAATATAGTTACAAGTGCATTTGTAAGTATTTAGATAATAAAGGCATCTCAAGTTAGTGGGAAAAAGGATGGATTATTTAATAAATGAACATTTTCAAACTGAAGGTTAAAATCCAAGTGCGAGTCATGAAATCAACTTAGTCATAATGGTTTTAAAAAATAGAATAGAAAAGAAAACATTCACTGTCACATGACAAGAATTGTTTTGTGGGTCTTTTGTTTCTATTTCTGTTAAATGTGTGTTGGATTATGATATAAAATTTGTTTATTATGAAATTTACTGTCAAATTGGTTTCATACAACACCCAGTGCTCATCCCAACAGGTGCCCTCCTCAATACCCATCACGCACCCTCCCCTCCCTCCTACCCCCCATCAACCCTCAGATTGTTCTCAGTTTTTAAGAGTCTTATGGTTTGGCTCCCTCCCTCTCTAAATTTTTTTTTTCCTTCCCCTCCATGAGTTATTTAGAGTTTCTCTCGGATCACAGAAGAGTGAAAACATATGGTATCTGTTCTTCTTGTATGACTTATTTCACTTTTAACATAACACCTCCAGTTCCATCCTTGTGTGCTACAAAGGCCATACCTTTCATTCTTTCCATTACCACGTATAGTGTCATTGTGTATATAAACCACAATTTCTTTATCTGATTCATCAGTTGATGGATATTTAGGCTCTTTCCATTTGGCTAGTTGTAAGTTGAAAACATTGGAAGACATAGTGCCCCTATGCATTACTTATTCCTGTATCCCTTTGGGTAAATTCCTATGCAGTGCATATAATAGCTAGGGTCATAGTAATCTATTTTTGATTTGAGTGAACCTCCACACTGTTTTCCAGAGCAGCCTGCACAGTTTGCAATTCCCACCAACAGTGCAACAGAGTTCCATTTCTCATCCTCGCAGCATCTATAGCTCTCTGATTTGTCTATTTTTAACTTGACTGGCGTGAGGTGGTATCTGAGTGAGCTTTGATTCACTATATTTCCTGATGAGGAGCAAAGCTTGAGCATCTTTTTCATTGTGAAGGAAATTGAGAAGATATAAAGAAATGGAAAAACATTCCATGCTCATGGATTGGAGAGGAATAAATATTGTTAAATGTCAATACTACCCAAAGCTAGCTACACATTCATTTTCAATGCAATCCAATCACCAACTATCTTACCGGAACTAGAACAACAGTCCTAAAATTTGTATGGAACCACAAGAAAGACCCCCGAATAGCCAAAATATTTTGAAGAAAGCCAAAGGCGGAGGCATCAGAATCCCAGACTTTAGCCTCTACTACCAAAGCTGTAATCATCAAGACACATGTAATTGGCACCAAAAACAGACAATCATGCAGGAATGAGAATGAGAACTCAGAATTGGACCCACAAAGTAAAAACTAATCTTGACAAAGCAGGAAGAATATCCAATGAAAGACAGTCTCTTTAACAAATGGAAAGTTGGGAGAACTGGAGAGAACTGCAGAAAATAAATTAGACTGCTTTACACCATTCACAAAAAATAAACTCAAAATGGATAAAAGGACTGAATGTGAGACAGGAAGCCATCAAAAACCCTAGAGGAGCAAAGCGGAAAAACCTCCCTGACCTGTCATAGCAAGTTTCTGTATCACATCTCCAAAGGCAAGAATAAAAAGCAAAAATGAACTTTGGACCTCATGAAAGATAAAAGCTTCTCTGCACTGCAAAGAAACAACCAACAAACAAAGGCAACCAAGGAATGGGAAAGATATTTGCAAATGACATAGTCAGACAAAGGGTCTAGTATCCAAAAATTTAAAGAACTCACAAACTCACCCCTAAAAACAAATAATCCAGAAGGAAATGGAAGCGAAAACATGAATAGTACTTCTCTAAAGAAGACATCCAGATGGCCAACAGGCATATGATAAAATGTATTCCTTAATGTGGATCATAGTTTAAAAAGTTTGAAAAGCACTGGTGTTTTGATAAATGGTGTTTTGATAAATAGCTAACCATTTGGAGGAAAACGTTCAAAAAGCATATAAAGTAATACAGACAGACTAAATAAAAGCCTGGGCTAAACTATGTCAATTGAATAGTTGAATATAGTTGAATAGTCAAAAGAATCATAGTATTAAGAGTCATTTTACAAAGGAGAGTTCAAGGCAAATATACGAAGCAAAGCATACAAGGCTGTAGAATAAGAGAAAATAGTAAAAAATATATTAATATTAAATCAAACCAAATCCATTAAATACTGTTAGCAATTCAAAGGTGATAGAAATACAATCTAAATATATATTTAGTAAAATATATTTTAAATAAAATAAAATAAATAAAATAAAATAAAAAGTAAAATATATTTTTAATCTTATAGATACACTTACTATAGTAAAAATATGAGATAAATAAAATTAAATATAAAGGATATTGGATGTCACCTATCTCCAAATACATATATTTTTGATACAGATTAAAAAATTCAGCCCCATCCCCTACTGTGTGACTTTCTTCTTTAAATGTTTATTTTTGAGAGAGAGAGCAGGGGAGGGTCAGAGATAGAGGGAGAGAGAGAGAATCTCAAGCAGGCTCCATACCTTCAACACAGAGCCTGATGTGGGATTCAACCCCACGAACCATGAGATCACGACCTGAGCCTAAATCAAGAGTCAGATGCTAGGTACCCCTGCACACAGATTTTCTAACTTTTATCATATAAAAAAGAAACTGACCTATTTCTTTCTGTGTTTTTAGAGGACTATTTTAATAAAGGGAAAAATGAGTCTGAGGACAGTAAGCTTCGATTCGAAACTTATCAGTTGATATGGCAGCAGATGAAATCTGAAACTGAGGTGAATACTTTTTTTAATAACTTATATTTCTCTATTACCGTAAATCTCATATTTGTTGCTTCCCATCTTCCTTTCCACCAATTTTCAAGAGTATTGATGAAACATAGGTAATATTAGCTTAGCATAAGCTGTATATTCTAAAAAAACACTCCTGTTCCAAGTATTAAGCATGGCTTCAGGTACTGGAACATACATTTAAATTTTTTTTTTTTTAACATTTATTTATTATTGAGAGACAGAGAGACACAGAATGTGAGCAGGGGAGGGGCAGACAGAGAGGGAGATACAGAATCCCAAGCAGGTTCCAGGCTCTGAGCGGTCAGCACAGAGCCCTACGCTGGGCTCGAACTCACAAACTGCGAGATCATGACCCGAGCTGACGTCGGTCACCCAACCAACTGAGCCACCCAGGCACTCCTGGAATATACATTTATAATGATAGCTGCTAAGGCAAGGGCCTCTACATATGCTCACAGCTTTTAAATGGTGGCACTCTTTAAATTAATCCATTCAGTTATAGAATTAAGGAATCAAGCTATTTTTAAAATACTTTATTCCCTCATTCCTCATATCCAATTTCTTCTGTGTTCTTTATATTCTAGCCCTAAAAAATGTCCGTACTTTAGCAGATTTGTAGTTCTAGGGCCAACATCTTGAGCGGACTTGTTTTATTTGAGCAACACAGTGTTTTTGTTTGTTTGTTTGTTTTAAATGGGAGGGTTATGCACTCTGTTTATTACTGCTTCCTACCACTCTTTATTGCTTTCACCTAGGGCTTTGCTCATTCATGTATTCCCTTGAAAGACCCTTGAAGGAATTTGAGTTTGTGGTTTCTTAGCGTAGGCCTTCATTTCTTAACCTGAATTGTGATGATCCTCCTAACTGATGTCTCTGCCTCTGATGTCAGACCCCTCAGGTCTGTCATTAGTCCCTGTAGCACCATTGGCCAAATTAGGAAAGTCCTGCCTTCAGGCAGATACAGTGCCAGGCTGCAGGGGTTTTCCAGCCTCACTGCCAGTACAGCTTCTCCCATCTGTTCACAGTGCTGTCAGATTAACCCTTTCAACCTTGATTTAATCACATCTCTGCTTCATGTCCCTTCAGTGGTTCTCCCCAGGGGATAAAACCCAAATCTTTTAACACCAAATGTAATTTTATTGGTCTAGCCCCTTGTTTATTTGTCCAGGCTCATTCCCTACCACTTCTCATGTTCTTGATGCTTAGCTGTGTGTGTGGTTCCCTGGATACTTGGTGCTTGCTTGCTTCCCTGCTCCCTCTACTCCCCATTCGTTCTGATTTTCTTCTCCCTATAGTCGCCTCCCCCATCACCTGCTTTAATGCTTTGGCTCACATCCTCAGCTTAAGTTGGATGGTCCTATTCTTTATTCTGTATTATCATAGCACTTTACACAATGTTTTTAAATTGTAAGTGTTCTTAATTTTTTTCACTGTTTTAGGATAAAGACTACCTTTCCTTTGTAAGGTGGTTAGTAAATGTTTGTTGAATGAATAAATTTGATTCTTTAATGAGGGAATCCAAAATACTAATGAATGGAGATTTAAGGAAAAAATATTTTTTATTTCATCTATCTAATAATTTTATACATAATCTTTGGCATTCATGATGATTTTCTTTCCCAGACTTGGAAAGATGCATCACATTACTACTGATAATAATTCATAAAGTTTTGTGTTTTCTTTGTAGCAACTACAAGAAGAATTAAATAAAAACCTATTCAATAGTCTAATTGAATTTCTGCAACAGTCTTATTCTGGATTCCATAAGAATTCAAGAGACTGGGGCTGTCAAATAAAACTCAGAGAAATTCCAACTGCTGCTCTTATTCTAGGTATGTATGGGTGTAGGTTTGTTTTTTTAGTTAGTGGTTTTGTTGAGAATAGTAGAGACTAACTTCTCTTGATCAACCTGTTTTGTGTCTTTCATTTATAGAATTAAACTAATTATACTGTTCTACATACTTTCAAAACCAATAAAAGTTCCTTATAGTGATTGTACAACTTTAAATTAAAAGAAATTGATCCGGGAATAGCTAGTACCCTCCTCAACTTTCTGTCAGAAAAATGAAGGAGAAATATATTTGCGTTACTCTTCCTTAGTTATTTTATGAGAATAGATGAGATTTGAATTCGGTAATAAAGAAACCACCAGTGGGTTAGTAGATTAGATTTGTGTGCTTTTTTTTTAAATTGTTATCTTCAGTGGAATTATCTATGACCCTAATTTTATTTCCCTGTGCTTAGTTTATCAATCTTAGATTATTTCATAATACTGCATGAAGTTTATAAGGGGGCTTGGATGAATTATATATAAATTGCTTTTAAGCTGCAGATTGTAAATTTCTTAGGTACTTAAATATCCATCATTAATATCCCATTTTAACCAAATTATCTGGCTGCAGGATAATGGAAAATTTCTTTGGAATACTAGCAAATTTCCTTATTTCTTTTGGAAAGAAAGTGGGTTTATTTGGATTTCAAATGTACTCTTCATTGCACTTGCAATTTGTTATTTATTCAAGGTTTGTTAAACTAGTGGGCACTGAGATAGTAACTTAGTTGTATTATTTAATACTGATTTTTAAAAAAAAAATCATTAGAGAGAGAGAGAAAATGAATGGGTGGAGGAGGGGCAAAGAGAGAGAGAGGGAGAGAGAGAATCTCAAGCAGGCTCCAAGCTGAGCTGTCTGTGCTCAGCCCAGCTCGGGGCTTGACCCCACAAACTGAGATCCTGACCTGAGCTGAAATCAAGAGTTGGATGCTCAACCGACTGAGCCACCCAGGTGCCCTAATACTGCCTTTAATCCTGTTCATTATCTAAATCTCATTCCTGATGTTCAGGGCAATACTTAGCAAAATTTAATGTACTTACAAATAACCTCCAAGGGATCTTAATAAATGCAGGCTTTCATTAATAGGTCTGAGGCAGGGCCTAAAACTCTACATTTGTAACAGGCCTCCAGCTGATGCCCATACTGCTGATCCCAGAACCACTCTGAGTAACGACACAGGGAATGATTTTTATAATACTGTGAACAGCTTTTCAGTGCAGCCTGCACTTAATTTCAAAACCCTTTTCATTCATGGATGAGAAACTGAGACCCAGTGATGGCCTGATTATACTGTTTGGTGCTTTGTTTCTCTACTACTAGGTTACAACAATTGGAAGTGGAGTGGGGAAAATGTAATCAAGAGGGATGGCTTGATAGATTGTTGAGAGAGCACTGTTTAAATCCCTTCTCTGCCTACTGCCAAAAGGAGAAAAGAAGCTAATGGAAATCTTATATTTCAAAGTCAGTAGTCTGAGAACATTTTTTCAGTTAAAGACATTGTTGATTTTCTTGTTTCCAATATACAGTCCATTGTTGAAAGCAACATAATGTTAAATAGCTTATAAAGTCAATCAGTGATAGACAAGATAAACTGGTGTTTTGCTGAACTCCTAAATTTGTTCAGAGATACAGTATCACAATCATAGACCATAATGCAAGGAATATCATTTTGATACTGTAAAAAAAAAATATGTAGTCAAAGAATGTTTAGGCACAGTTGCACATTTTCTATTTTCAAAAAGATATATGTCTTTAAAAGTAGCCTGCCAGGGCACTTGTGTGGCTTAGTTGGTTAAGTGTTCGACTCTTGATTTTGGCTCAGGTTATGATCTCGTGATTCATGAGATTGAGCCCTGCGTCAGGCTCTGTGGGGAGCATGGAGCCTGCTTGAGATTCTCTCTCTCTCCCTCTCTCTCTCTCTTTCTGCCTCTCCCCTGATCTCTCTATCTCTCTCAAAATAAATAAGCCTTTAAAAAAAATTTATTCATTTATTTTGAGAGACTGAGAGAGCTCATGCAAGTGCACAAAGCAGGGTCAGAGAGAGAATCCCAGAAAGGCTCAGTGCTGTCACTGTAGAGCCCTACTTGGGGCTTGAATCATGAATCATGACATCATGACCTGAGTCGAAACCAAGAGTTGGATGCTTAACTGACTGAGCCACCCAGTCTTCCCATAAATAAAGGAAAAACATAGCCTGCCAACATTTTTATTTATTGGCTTGCCTAGAAAAAATTTTTCTGTTTATTGGTGGCCTAGATTCTGAACCTTTTGTTTTTCTTCTAGACAGTTGAAGTTTTATAGTAGCACTTATCAAGCAGTTTCAAGATAGCTGCTGTTGCCACCTGCCTAAGTGCCAAAGCACTTTCTAGAAATCTCAGATTGTGACGTAAAGGAAAGTGTCAGTCAGTAGAATTTTTTCCAGTGTGATAGGGAAATTACACTCAACTCTGATAACTGCATGCACAGCACTAAACTCTGACTTGTGGAAATGAGAACGAGAGGCTTAGTAAATACCTAAAGTACCTGAAGTTTTGTTTTTAGCCTCTTCCCTCAGAAATCAGCTTAGTGTGTATTTTACTATTGTATTTACTACAACAGTCATTAATAGGATTAGTGATTGGATTCTCCTCACTTGTTAAGTCAGGATCACAGTAAACCCGGAATCTGTAGCCCTTATTTTTGAATGAGTATTTTAAAGAGTACTTTATGAATTTGACAAGTAATAAAATTACTCCTAAGATGTTTTCATGGGTTAACTACACATTCTCAGTAATGTTTTTTAAAGAGAGATTATGCTAAATACCCTTTCTGACAAGTATTTTGTGTGCTTCCAGGTATCTATTGTTAATGGAGATCTCTTCATTTATGCAGGATATTTTCTTGGTTTCTGTTATTAATCATGGGGTTTTTTTTGTTACTCATATTTTTAAAAATATTTTTATTCAGTAATTCACTAGACATGTTAAGTAGCTTTGTTGTTAAATTATTTATAGTACAAATGATGGTGTAATACTGATGTATTATCCCATAGGTGTGAATGTAACTGATCATGATTTAACATTCAGAAGTCTAACAGAAGCCCTTCAGAATAATGTCACTCCATATGTAGTCTCATTGCAAGCTAAAGATTGTCCAGGTACAGTATAAATGCCCTAATAACCTTGGTGAGATGTTACAGATCTCTTCTGACCTTCTTTCTCCCCACCCCGCCCCCCCACCCTAGCTTTGTTGATCCCTTTTTATTTGTGGGAAGAGCATGGCACAACATTTGGGCAGGGTGAGGTTTATTGCCTATCATGGTAATGTTGACTGTTGCAGGACTCATTGCCACCTTTTGCTTCCTTTATTCCAGCCCCCCCCCCCCCCCCCCCCCCCCGTATCAGCTTCGCTGCCAGTAATAGTTTAGATATTTTATGAGATGTGTTCCCTAACCCGGTAAAAGTCTAATAAGTTGGAAGGTTTGGGACAGGGAGCTAGAATTAAGGATTGGGGAGCTCTTATTTATCCCAACAGAGAATAGACTGTGTAGGCTCATATTTCAGCCTCCAGTCATCTTATTGTCCTGCTCTGAAAGATTAGCATGGTAAAAAATGTCCATTGCCAGAGCTAATCTATATGAAACCATTAAATTGTAAAGGATATGGACACTAATAGAGTAAAATGGAATGAGATTTGAATTGACATAAGGGCTTTATGTGCTTATATTACTTTCATAATCATAAACTGATTGGAACTGATTAAGTCAAAGCCCTTAGGACATCTTTTAAAATGACTATAAGGAAGATTTGTAATCAGTAAAATAACTTATGTAAGTAACACTTTTGATCGTTTTTAGAGGCCTTAAAAATTTTTTGCTGTCTAGTGTAACTTAAATATATAGTGTCCTCATAAGATTTATAGTTTTTGTGTTTACACATTTACTTAGGTAACATTTTTAGTATAGATAGTATACATAAACTTTGGCTTAGTGTTAGTCTGAATTAATGAAATTTAAATATTAAAGAGAAGATACTAATGAACATTAATAGTTAATATGTTAAATGTTAAATTAATGTTAAGTGTACAAGAATACATTCTACCCAAATGTAATATACTGATTAAGAAGTTTCAGTTGTTTCATATTTGTTTTAAAGGGAGATAAGCTTTCTTACCTTTTATATTCTGCAGATATGAAACATTTTTTGCAAAAGCTGGTCTCAAAGTTGATGAACTGCTGTGTAGATGAGGAATCCAAAGAGGAAAGTATTCAGGTCACCCAGAAAAAGACATTTTGTTCAATGGATTCTCTTTCCAGCTGGTATATGAGTGTCACACAGGTAAATGTAAACTGACAATTTTTGGGGGGGGGATTTGCATCTGATTGAAGAGGCTTAGAATTGCATTAAACGTAATACTGTTCTAATAAGAATATGCTTATGCACCCTAGCTGTTAAGTAATGGTAGCTACTTACTTTTCCTAAGGCTATTAGAATTTTAAAGTATTCTTTTATCAGTATGCAGTCTAATTCCTGGTAAGTATTTAGGTTCTCATTTTACAAGGCCATTTTATTTGTGGGAGAATGTCATCTAGTGACAAAAACAGCATCAGGAATTGGTTCTGTGGCAGATTCTATCTGTGTGACAATGGCTATGACTTTAATATATTATCTCTTAGGTTCCTCAATATTTGCTTTTGTGCGGTTGAACCATGCTGCCAGTTCCCAGTGTCAACTTAGTCCAATGAGAAATAGTCATTTTTTTAAAAAATCTAATTTGTTCCACGTTTACAATTCTTGGGGAATAAATGGTCTGTAAGTAAAGTACATTCAACAGTAAACAGTTAACTAAAAAGAAGCTCCATTCTGCCATCACAGTCTCTGGTGAGAATGAACAACCTAGGTGATTCATGGATAACTGTACCATAAAACCACAGCTTTAGTTTATGATGCCGTGTAGCCAGATAGTATGGGAAAAAATACTGTGGTAACATTTTCTGATAAAACGTATTTGCTGAAGTCGACCGTAAGTGAAGTTTCATTTTGCTTTATATAGGAATTAAGTTGGGTCTCATGCATATCATAATATCTTAATTTGATCCACAATTTTAAATTTTCTAGAAATCAGATGCTACATGCAGTTTATGTCAGATATCTTTAAAAGATTGGGATTGGACCAGATGGTATTAAAGGTGCTTTTCAACTTGAAATTTAACAGTAGCAGACCAGCAAGTAGTGTTGTTTATTGTGCTTTTCAATTAAAAATACTAGTTCTCACCTTAAAGCAAAGCAACATATAACATTCTATTAACAGAAAAAATAATTTATAGAAAATGTTCTCCCCATGCTTTTTTGTCATTTTCTCAGATAGCAAAAAATATAAATATTTCATATGAGTTATAGATTTTACTGAACCTTTTTCTTGGTTATTATTCCCATGTCAGACACAAAAAGATTCTGCTAATAACTGTTGGAATGAGTTTCTCTTTATTATGTGGGAGAAATAAAAGAAAAAGTATTACTGTAAAATGTAAAGGGAGATACATCATTGTAGTGTTGTAGCATTGTTTGAATGGTAAGGCTTACTTTTAACTCCTTTTTTACGTGACTTTAAAGAAGACAGATCCAAAACTGCCGAGGAAAAAGAGGACTTCGTCTAGCCAATGGCAGTCTCCTCCTGTTGTGCTTATCTTAAAGGATTTGGAAAGCTTCACCACAAAAGTACTCCAGGACTTCATAATTATCAGCAGGTAGATGATATATCACCTGGCTTTTACATAAAATTCTTTTTATTAAGGAAACATGTAACTTTTAACTTGAAGAGCAACCTTTTCCAGAGAAAATGAATGGCAGTTTAATCTTCATTTTAATACCAACTGGATAGAAACCAGAATGATTTCAAATTCCTTATAATTAAATGTTCAAAGACCTCCTATCAGATTTTCATTTGCTTTTTGATCCAAGAATGAGATCAAAAGACTAAAGTTAGCCACCTTTTAATTAGTATGAAAAGGCAATATAAAATGTAGTTTCTCTCACCAAGGTCGTCTGTCTCTTGCCCATTAAATCGATAAATTACTCCAGCTTGAGATGTTTGTCAGGTCTTATTTTCTGATACGTATCCACCATTAGAAGCTCTGAGTTACATATAGCTCTTCTGAGCAAGTATGTTTTCTAAATAACATTATCTTATATAATTTTTATAATGAGAAACTATTTTCATGATCTCATTGGATTTTCAGGGCATTCCTGTGAAATTCAGAATTGAACTAACTAACCCTATTTAAAATCCAGTGACATGTATTTGCCGTGGTGCATTTTTAGGATATAATTTATTTTGGCTTTTTCTGTATGTTAACTTAATAGGTGTGGCTAAATTTACCTAAAGCTATATATTGTCTTATAATTACTATTTTGATAGTGTCTTTTTTTCCCCCATAGAAACTAAGATTTCTAGATTCTAAGAATTTTCTTAATGCTAAAACTGAACTGCTTAACATGCTTGAAAGTTGCGCACTAAGAATATTGACAAAAGAGCTGTACTTTTTTGGAGCTTAGACTTGTGACTCCTGTTGCCATCTAAAGTGAGGAAGAACTTAGAGCAGTAACAGAGCCAGGGCACTCCACTCCTATGAAGGTAGAACTGCATAGCTAGAATACTGACAAGCAATAGCCAGTAGGAGGGAGCAAACAAAATCATCAGCCATGGTACAAAGTGTTCAGACCCACAGTAGCTCTCAAAGATAGTGCTGTTTTACTCTGTGGGAGTCATTTGTGTTCATACTAGTAATAATAGGAATAAATCATGTCCAATAAGTTTGAGTTAATGCAAGGAAAGTATATAACATTTTTAAATGGTGTCCATTAAAAATATGTCTTACATATGTGTAAGGAAAGTTTCCTGTTTCTTAGCTATTATGTATAGCTGGGTGACATAGTGTTTGTTAGAAATGTGCATAAATAGAATAAGTTACCTTGAAAAATGTGAGCTTCATGTCACTGAACTCTTAAAGCATAGACTGGATGTCTAACTGTTAGGAAGACTATAGAGCTCAAACTTTGGATGAGAGGTTAAATTGAATATCTAACTCTTCTAACACTTGAGATTGTATAACCTTAGAGAGAGGCACTTGATCTCTCTGGACCTCTGTATTCTTATTTATAAAATGAGAGGATCTTTTAGTAGATTGATTTCAGAGCTAGAATGTCTGGGAAAAAACCATCTATATTACTTTAACGGGAAAATAAGTGACCTAGAAAATTTTAGTATTTAGAATGATACTCTTCATCAGTGTCTTACACAGTAGACATTCAGATAAAGATGGTCTTAATTTGAAATTTGATGTATTGAAATATATTTGCTAAAAAAAGAAAAATCCCAATTTTGTATTTTCCTTTGAAAACCAGTCAACATCTACATGAATTTCCACTAATACTCATTTTTGGAATTGCCACGTCTCCTATTATCATCCATCGGTTGCTTCCTCATGCAGTATCATCTCTGTTGTGCATAGAACTTTTCCAGTCTCTGTCCTGCAAGGAGCACCTGACTACGGTACTTGATAAGGTAAAAAGAAAAAATTGTATCAGTGAAATAGGATGAAAAGAAGACAGCCAAGAATAGATGATAAATGTAAACATTAGTGATAAATTTCTGAATCTCTCAGAGTATGATATTGAACATATTTCTTCACATTTTTTTATATTTAATGATTTTTATAGGGCACAATATTGCCTCTTCAGATAAAATAAAAGCTTTGTAGAAAGAATGATTCTATTTTTCTGTATCTACCTACCTACCTACCTATCAATCAGTCATTACTCAATGGAAAATTTTAGGTTTTTAATAAATTTTAATAAAATTTAATGATTTCCTAAAAACAGCAACCATGTTTTTACTCCTACATTTTATTTAAAGTAATTTGAGGGGCGTCTGGGTGGCTCAGTCCGTTAAGCATACTACTTCGGCTCAGGTCATGATATCGCACTCTATGAGTTTGAGCCCCACGCTAGCCTCTGTGCTGACCTCTCAGAACCTGGAGCCTGCTTTGGATTCTGTGTCTCCCTCTCTCTCTGCCCCTCCACTGCTCAAGCTCTGGGTGTCTGTCTGTCTCTCTTAAAGGTAAACAGTAAAAAAAAAAAAAATTTTGATATTTTTAGTGGACCCTTTCCTGTCATTGCTGCTCTTGGCAGAACATAAATACTGACATTTCCTCAGACCTTAGCTCTATGTTTCAATTAGTTTTAGTTCTGTTTCTACCTAAATTATTATTGACCTTCCACAAAGTGTTGCCAGATCAACTCTTTCAAGGTGTGCTTTATATTGCTTGTGTAAGGTAAATTATGAAAAACTTCCATTTATTTACTGACCACTTACACATTTTTTTCCCCATGAAGCTGGTATCCGTTTGTTTATGGATACTTTGAGGAAAATTTTTATAGCTGCCGTATTTAAAATTGCTCAATCGTGGTCAAATGCAGGTGGCCTTTTATAACTACATTTCAGTTTTAAAAGCCTAGTGTGACTTTTCATTTTCAGGTATAAAATCTTCACTTTAGGCCATTGGAAATTAGCTGAGTAATACAAATGCAGCTATTTTGTAACAGATAACATCTGTTAATTTGGGGTTTTTCATTCAACAGTGCATAATGTGTTATTCCTCATTAATGTGTGTAAGTTAGGGATGAAAAAGAAATCTTATAATAAGAATTACCAAAGCCTATAGCTTCTTCAGTGGCTTCTGGCGGGAGAAGACGGATTGTATAGTTAATAGATGGTATTTTTTTAAATTAGTAATTGAATGGAAGATGGTGGACATCTTTGATTCTGAAGATGTAGTATGAATAGCTTCTTTTGGTTATGATTCTTACGTAAATTAATTTAAAGTTTTAGTTGATATTTGACCTAAAAATAACCTAGCTACTTTTATAGCTTTCATGGTTACTGTGTCATAGTATCATTCTTTGCCTCATGATTTATACTTGATATTTATGAAGAGTAAAGACTAATAAGGAGTGTGTCCTATTCCCCTTTTATGTCTTTCAGCTACTTCTTACAACTCAGTTTCCCTTTAAACTAAGTGAAAAAGTGCTACAGATTTTGACCAACATCTTTTTGTATCATGATTTCTCAATTCAAAACTTTATAAAAGGACTTCAGGTAAGAAGACACTAATGGGTGTGAAACTTCATAAGCTGATTCTAAGTAATTTGCATATTATTTGAAACTATTTAGTGTGATAAGACATTTTAAATGGCAAACTCTAAAGTAAGTAAATTCAAGTGTCACCTGGGTGGCTCAGTCGGTTAAGTAACCAACTTCGGCTCAGCTCATGATCTCACAGTTTGTGAGTTTGAGCCCCGCATCGGGCTCTGTGCTGACAGCTCAGAGTCTGGAGCCTGCTTCAGATTCTGTGTCTTCCCCTCTCTTTACACCTCCCCTGCTCACGCTCTGTGTCTCTCTGTCTCTCAATAATAAATAAATGTTAAAGAAAAAAAAATTTTAAATAAGTAAATTCAAGTTATGTTATTCTAGGCTCTACCATTTCTTAGTTACCTGCAGCAAAACATAGAGAATATATTAATGCAGATGTCAAAAATGGATAAAGACATCCCACACACCCCCTGCATTCCAATGATTCTTAACTATTTAGGGGTAGGGAGGAAGGGACTCTTATTTATTTATTTTTTTAATGTATTTATTTTGAGGGAGAGAGAGCATGAGCAGGGAGGGACAGAGAAAGAGAGGGAGAGAGAGAATCCAGAGTAGGCTCCACACTGTCAAGGCAGAGCCCATTGACACTGGGCTCAATCTCAGGAACTATGAGATCATGACTTGAGCCAGGTTTAACCAACTGAGCCACCCAGGTGCCCCTAGGGACTTTTTTTGTTTGTTTGTTGTGAGATTCTTGATTTCTTCTAAAAAATACTATATATGAGGGATCAGCAAATTTTCTGTAAAGGATCAGATATTAAATATTTTTGGCTGTGAATGCTACATCTCTGTTGCATATTCTTTTTCTTCTTTTTAAATAACCAGTTAAAGATATAAAAAACATTTGTAGTTCCTGGGCCATGTAAAAATAGTCTATGGGCCATAGTTTGTTGTCCCTTGCACATATATGTATATGTATTCATTTATATTTATTCTTGCATATTGGGAAAGCAGTTTTACTAAGGTTTCATGAATTGCCAGAAGAAAATTCATAAACTCAGCTTCATACTATCTGTTCTAAACTACAAAAGGAGCCCATTCTCCAGTTATTTGGAAGTTAATGTTATCTTCTTCTCTTGGCATCTACCTTAAAATACCTTAGCAAAGTGTAGTCATTATAAATACATGCCATTGTAAATACATGTTACTAAAACCAATATATTAGCAACCTTCAGTACAAAAGTGCAATATTATAATACCTCACATTTGTGTAGTAACTTGAAGTTTACAAATTATTTCTGTTATGTATTTTTTCTCCATGTAAAACACTGTAGTGCTCTCTTATGGCTAACATATGTCTTTTTTTCCAACCTGACTTTAAAAAAAAAATATTTCAAAGCAACAAAATTACCTTAGCAATATGCGAAATTAAATGATATTGAGGTATAATACATTTCTTAATTTTTTTTTACATTTATTTATTTTTGAGAGACAGAGCACTAGTGGGGAAGGGGCAGAGAAAGAGAGAGACAGACAGACAGACAGAATCCAAAGCAGGCTCTAAGTTCTGAGCACAGAGCCCGACGCAGGGCTTGAACTCACAAACTGTGAGACCATAACCTGAGCCAAAGTCGGATGCTCAACCGACTGAGCCACCCAGGCACCCCAAGATCTAATACATTTCTAATTTGCTTCTCTCATACATTTTACTTCACTCATTTGTTTACTGAAAAGTATTTATCAAGAGCCGACTGTAAGCCAAGAATTATGCTGAGCCCTAGAGATACAGAGGACAAGGAAATCTCTGCCTTCAGATTGCTCTTTTGTTTAGTGAAGGAGGCAGAATGGGAAATTACAGTTCTCAATAGTCAGTGCTATGAAAGAAACGTGTGGGGATTCCATAAGAAAATGAAAGTATATCCTAAGGAATAGAGGCTCACCAGATTAAAATGGAAAGCGCATTCTAGGTAAAGACAACAGTAGAGGGAGAGAGATCTGTTGGAGGACTACTGCACTGATCTAGACAAGATATAACAAGGGCTACACTAAGGTTGTGATAGTGGAACTAGAGAGGAGGAATCAGATTTGGGGATGAGATAGAATCGACAGACCCTGGTGACTAAGTGGATGATAGGATGCATAAGAGAAGCATAAGTTCTATCTTGGCAAATGGATTGGAGGTGGTACCATTTATTAAGTATATGTGTTAATATAAAGTGAAGAGACAGTTAGAAAAAGGTGAGTTTCTTTTTGTATATGGTTTTTTCAGGTATGTTGGATAATAAAGATTTGGCACTCAGGAGAAAGATCTGGAAGTAAATAGAAATATTTAGGATTTATCATTAAAAGGTGGTGGTTGAAGTCACATAGTGAGGATGAGGCATCATCCAGAGGAGTGAGGAAAGGACTAAGATTAGAATCTGGTTGTAAGCTGACAAGAGTAATAGAAAAGGAGACTAAAAACAATAAGGAAAACCAATAGAAAGTAGAGTAACACTGAAGTCAAGAGAAGGATGAGTTTTAGGTAATATCATTTCTCAAATACCATTGAGAAAGCAAGCGAAGAAAAGGGTATTCATCGAATTATGTAATCTCTTGGGGTCTCAGTTTTCTCATCTGTAAAATAGGGAATCAGATTAGATGATTTTATCGGTTCCTCATAATTTACTAAGCACCTCCTTTGTGCTAGCTCGTACTAAGTATTTACATTGTTTCATTAATGGGTACTATTATCCTCAGTTTTGCAGGTGAGGAAACAGAGGCTTAGGTTAAGTAGCTTGGCCAAGGTCACACAGCTTTTAAGTGGTAGAGCCGTTAGACCCCATTTGTCTACTTTTCCTAATCATCAGTGGGAAGTAATGCGTTAAGTCCTATTTTCCATAGGGGGTGCAGTAGGGTATATAATCATTCTGTGTATGTTTAAGGTTTTCCTTCATTAGTTGGATATGTTGACCAACTTGTTGACCCAGATTTTGAGAACATACTTAGACAAAGTAGGTGATACTGGGTTCTTATTTATAACTCTAGTGTAAGTCATGTGACTTCCTCCCATTTCTCCTCCCCAGCAAGTCCCTTATATGTTTGTTTTTTACTTTTCTCATATTTAAAAAGTGATGTTAACATTGGAATAAATACTATCACAATATAATTGAAAAATGCAAGTAAGAAACAAGATTTTGTTAATATGTGTGAAAATAATTTAGCACTTGGCATGAACAGTTACTTTCTGTTTGGTATTTGTTTCTAAGTAAGGCTGGCTCTTTTCTTACAGCCTCATCCTTCCTCCAGAATGAACTATTTTGGAGGATTTCCTCTAGCCTTGGGTATCTGGTCTTCAGCTCTATAGGCTCAGAGATTCATTATCAGTTTACCCAGCAAGGATCAAGCTCAAATACCTTAATACCAATATATAAACTATCATGTTAATTTATTAATTTGTGATGGGAAATTCTATTTTCTAGTGACAAGACTGTGTTTTGTCCACTCTCTAGGGAAACTGTCTAGTATCAAGGTGTCTGGAAAAACCAAATTGGCCATAAAAAGGTTGCTTAGGGTCAACTTTTTAACATTTGAATAGTCTTGTAAGATACATCTTACAAGTTATGGTATGTTCTGGAAAATCATTCCCCCTTATACTATGGGGACAACAGCACTCTTAACATTTAAATTTACCAGATATTGTACCATGTTTTTCTTCATGAAATAAAACTGAATTTAAAAAGATATCTTTTCTTTAGCTATTTCTCATTTTTCATTATTTTTTTTTATCAGAAGGGAAAGTTTCTACCATTGTAACATTTTTATTTTTTCAGCAGACCAAATTTTTTCACTGATTTTATAGATGAATATTTTCTTGTGAGTATTTGGACATCTATTAAACTCTGAGGTCACACCCCAGTCCTATCCCCACCATATTTACTGTTGCTGTGAGTTGGTTCTGCAGAGAGTTGATCTATCCATTCATATTAGTTTCTTCTAATACATACTTCAGAGATTACAATTTTCTGAGCTTGTCCACAAAATCAGAGTCTTAAAATATTAAAGATACAGAATGATTTATGCATTGTTTGTAGTGTTATTGTGACATTAAATATATTAGTGCCATACTTTTGCTGTTTAAAAAAAACCTTAGTGTGCTGTTTCAAAAGGCCACGTGCACCCCAATGTTTATAACAGTGCTATCAGTAATAACCAAAGTATGGAAAGAGCCCAAATGTCCATCAACAGTTGAATGGATAAAGAAGATGTGGTGTGTGTGTGTGTGTGTGTGTGTGTGTGTGTGTGTGTGTGTGTATATACACATACATACATATATACATATACATACATACACACACACAATGGAGTATTACTCGGCAATCAAAAAGAATGAAATCTTGCCATTTGCAACTATGTGGATGGAACTAGAGGGTATTATGCTAAGTGAAATAAGTCAGAGAAAGATAAATATCATGTGACTTCACTCACATGAGGAATTTAAGATACAAAACATAAACATAAGGGAAGGGAAGCAAAAATAATTTAAAAACAAGGAGGGGGACAAATCATAAAAGACTCTTTTTTGTAATTTTATTTTTTACATTTATTTATTTATTTTTGAGAGACAGACAGAGACAGAGCACAAGTGG